AAGTTTTTTTAAAGGTTATGATTTTATAACATATTATTCTGGCTAACTATACACATTGGCTAAATAATTGTTCCTTAGGGGACCGTCATCCTTGGGTTCAAGTCTTCTGTGAAAAAAAGAGAAAAACTTCAAATTGTGACTACACAGCACTTATTACTCTAACAGTATTAATCTGAGAGGGGAGTTTATCTTGAAATAAGAGAAAGACACATAGCACATGCATAAAGATTTTAACTGAATTAACAGAATCTTGAGTAATGTTAGGTAAACCATTTAAAGCACAAGTGGCTGGAAACATTGTAAACTGTTATGTTTAAGAATGCATACCACTAATAGATAAACAACCAGACCATGTATACACAGTTTCTGTTAACATTTATTAATTTTATTTGTTTTTAATAAGTAGATGAGACTGAGACCCATCCTTTTTTGAGCAAAACCTGTTAGACTTTACAAGAACCTGTTTACTTCAGCCGCAGCAGTCTGCTACTGGTATATACACAAAGAATTTAGATGGCCAATAGATGAAGGAACAATCAGAATGCTAAGCAGAAAGACCAGGAAGACATCTGAACATATGTATTTGATATAAATATAATTTTAGAGAGACATCTAAATGCACCACACTTCTTCTAGTTACTTGACAAGTGAACACCAAGTATTCAACTGAAGAGAATTTTGTATTTATTAAACTTGATTTATTGTGACAGACTAGTTGGAGTGAATTTTTTCAAGTTCTTTATACTTGTTCCAATAAAATGGATATAATTTCTTTCAAAATAAACAGGCAAAAGATTTGCCTTTCGTATTGTATCCTCTGAAGGAAGAAGCATGCAAAGATCATTTGTAAAGAATCCCATTCACAGTGGATCTGTTTTCATTTACAGTGCTATTTACATGGATTAAGTGTATGCTCTCAATTATCTCATGTCAGAAATCTAGATGTTTTAGCTTTTGCATATTTCATTTTTTTTGTTACTAAAATAGTTTGTATCTGTGGTAACTTAGGATACTATATCACCATTTTTTGTTTACTTTATAAGAAGCTAGAGTATTTTTAGCAAATGTATCATTATGTCAGTACTGGAGTAGGAAAAAAATTAGGTACTGTTGGGAATTTCAGCTGTGTAGAATCACAGTTGTGTACAACTGTGTACAAAATTGTGTACAACTGTGTTAATTTTTTGTATTCGAAATATTTTCATATTTTTTCATATTTCTCAAATTAATTTTGAGGATGGTAAATATATATGGGAGAGAGTGGATTAGTCCATTTTTACTGATAGAATATTATTCCTGATAAGCTTTTGATTCTTTGTAAAAGATTTCTATTGCAGCATCACAGTCTGGTAATATGGACTCCCATTGGTATATTAAACCACTTTCACTTCTAATACATGATACCAATGACAACTATTACTTAACAGAAGCCTTAGTCCTTCTAAATACATATCAGTAATAAAAATGTCTAAATTCCTAAATCGTGTTTTTCAGTATGGTAAGGAAAAGTCTAAATTTTGTTTTTTAAAGAATAAAAAAAAATTGAAAGTACAATAAAGTATTACTTTTGAACCTTTTAATAAGAAAAAGCTTAATGCAGATGTTAGACATTTTGTTTGACCCAATATTTTTCATACAATGTTTTTCTACTAACCGACTCTTTTTCCCAACAAAAAAGTTATCCAGTATGTTGGCTTTACTTAAAGTCTCAGTACATGGAAAAAAATGAGTGGTAAAAAAAAAAGGGAAAGGAATGGTTATTGAAACACACAGAGGAAGTTATAAATCTTTAAATCATATACAGGACAGATTGGAACAATATAAGCTCTCCAAGTTTTCTTAAATAATGTACCTAAAAACTCTCTGTGGGCAAGTAGGAAATCTGTTTTCAATATCGCCTACTTCTAAGCAAAAAATATCATTTATGTTAAAGAAAGGTTTTATTGGTGGGGGTTTTCAACCAAAAATTAATGCAAATATCTCATCAGAAAATGCTGTTTGAAAGCCAGGAAGTTTAGTTGCAGTCACTGTTCAGAACGCTGCCCTGCACATTATAAGAACAGCAAAGAAGAGAATAGATCATGCCCAGTTCTAAATCAGAGTAAAAAATGAAACCGTAGTGCAGATGCCTTCCAACACTTCAAAAGGAATTAGCCCTGATGCCCAAATGCAAGATTTTTTGGCAGGCAAATGTTTTATTTTCACTGTAGCAGATTGCTATGAATCCCTACTCAGTGAGAGTCATAACAGGATTGTACCAATTGCATCTGCTTTTAGCAGGAGTTTTTTGTGGTAAATAACCTCTGGAGGTATTTTATAGTGTGAATTATCTTGTAGTCTTTTGATACTATGATGATTTCTTCTGCAATGCAATATTTTGCGTTGCACAGCCATACTTTAAAAATGTGTATTCTAATCAATGACAGAAAAGAACCAATATTAAGTGAAATCAACCAAGAAGGAAATAAATTTTCTGCACAGAAATGCAGTGTATCAGAAGAGCACTCAGGAAGAGATTCTGCTAAAGCCAACAGCACAGGATCTGTACAAAGGAGTTCCCTACCATGGGAAATTATTTCTGCTACCAAAACCAATGCTTCAACTATGCAAATGGAAAGTTCAGTTTCTTAATTAGTAATATCTGGAAATATCTGAAGAAAACAATACCCATAGTTTAAAATCTGTCATCTTGGAAAATGTGTACAGACAGTATAAGGAATAATTAATATTATAGCTGCTATTTATTTTTAGCTGCTATTTATGATTTTCTTGGACCATTGAGGGTTTTGGTGCTAGATGGGTTTACACTTACGGAAAGTGTCGAATACCACTAGACAACAAGAGCTTCCCCATAGGTTACTGTAATGTAGTGTATCAAACACAGTCTGTTCAGAATTAGAGCTAGTAAACTACTAAGGTTTTAAGCATTTCTTCAGAATCTGAAGTTTCCTGAGGTTTTCCATTTACATTGATATATTACTTATACCCTTAGTGCAATAACACACATGAATGCCCATCTCTGGCAACTCAGGCAACTGACCATTAGGGAAACAGAGAAAGAGTGCTTCTGGTAGGGCTAATAGAGGCAGTGCAGAGCCTACTGGAAACTCTGCCAATTTGCAAAGCTCCCAGAAGAAACCTCTTAAGGACTTCTTGCACCAAGAAAGGATGACCTGTTTATATTTTACATCTTGTTTTCTGATACTGTGTTTACCACCTCATAAAACAGGAAGGCTTTAACTCAGAGTCTTTTGTGTTTTTAAGTGTTTGCATTCCAAGGACTTTGTGCTTTGTGCACCTACTGCACCTAAAACTTCTGTTAAAAAAGAAAAAAAACAAAGCAGACACTATTAACTAGTTTAACAATAAACATTCGTAGTTTCCTATAGACATTGATTTCTTACCTATTAAAAAGAATGAAACCATTGAAGTTTTAGACTACTGCTATTTCTAAAATTGCATTTGAGTCCTGGTGCTGTCATTAAGAGCTCATTCAAAAGGAATGTTGTCATATTTCTATATAAATGTTTAACACTGTGCTATGCCAGAAAAATGATGGTAGTAAACAATATCAGGAGGTCTGCTGGACTGGTGTAACAGTTTATTGTGTTTTGCTTTTTTAGTCACTGTCAGAGACACTGCAAAAGTAACAGTACCTGACAGTGATAATTTTCACTGCATGGTGCATATTATTACTATTGATTTGTTCTGCATAGTTATCCCTTTTCCAATGAGTTCGGTGTACTTTTCACACACATTTCATCAAGGATCAAATTATGAAGCAAGGAAAGACTCCTATTATAGTCCTACGTAGGTAATCATTGCTGCTACATATTATTTGTTGTTTCCTGACAATGAGGTTTCTGTACTACTGAGTTTTCCACAGAAGAATTATGAAGTAGCTGAGACTTAGGTGGTCTACTTCTTATCCTTGGAATTACTTTGCTTCACATTTAGTAGTTCAAGTGCCAAACAAGTGCAGAATTGTGTGTTTGTGCATAGACTTTATGACAGTAACGAAGGTGATTTTCTGTTACTCTGAAAATGGCATCTGTGCCACCTTTTCCCTCTTCCTGACTTGTGTGAGCAATGTGGTTATTAGAAGTATTAGCAATAGGCATAACAAAAGTCACTATCTGTCTTAAAGCCATGACAGTAATAGCAACTGGATTTTATTTTTTTCCATGAAGGAAATTTTGAGACATTTTGGGATATTCTAATCATAAATTTTTAGACTTTGTTTTTACAATAATAAGGGAGCAAAGGTCCCTTAGGTCAGGAAGAGTGCAATTTCCTAGGCCTTTCCTTCAGCCTTTCAGAATTTAAGGTGTAGAATTCAAGAATGTGTATGTGGGTATATGTTGTGCTTCCATCTTCCATGGTCAGCTACATCTAGTAATGAAAATGTGGAGCAGTAGAAACCTTTGTGACATTGCAATCTATGCAAACTTTGATTTTCTAACCAATGTGTTGTAATGGTGAAATAAGTGATGACTTCTTATTGTAAAGTACTTTCTTTCTAGGAGTTATGGTAGGAAAAATATTTTTTTTTTTTACTGCTTATGACCTATAATTGACAATCTTTACACTGCCTTGATTGGCATAAATATCTACTTCAACTGTAGAAAAATATCAAGATTTGCCGTCATAAACCAAAAAATTGACCAATAAATCTCATTAGAGGAGGTAAAAATGTGGAGAGAGATGTGTAAAATAAAGAAATATATCTTTGAAAAGGACTGGTTAACATGGTGTATAAACTTATATATGACTGATACCACTTATTGTTAAATGTGTAATACAACATGTCCAAATGGCTTTGCAGGTGAGAGTGTATATATGTTTGCAATTGCAAAATACCTTTTGGAAGTGATATTTTCCTTCTCTGACTTCATGGAATACAATCTAGAGAAACATCAAGAAGGATCTTTTCCGTTTCTGCCTGCTTGCTTGCTTGTATTACCTTCTTTGCAGGATTAACTCTGATTTTTCTGTAACAGGCACATAGTTGTCTGTGGTCACATAACACTTGAAAGCGTGTCCAACTTCCTGAAGGACTTCCTGCACAAGGATAGGGATGATGTCAACGTAGAAATCGTCTTTCTGCATAAGTGAGTAGTCTTTCAAGATTAGTCTTATCATCAATTACTAAAGCTCTTTAAATTAAGCCTGATCTTATGAGAAGACAGAGAATCTTTCAAACTCCAAATAACCGTAAAATTAATGTTTTCAATTACTGTTATTAACAATATGTTTTGAAAAATATTTGTTTTCTACATTTTGATAACACATTGCTAAGTATAGGTATTTCAAGCAGATAGACTTCAGCACCAGTTGTGTCATCTGTGAGATAGATAGCTAAATGCATCGTTGAAGTGGGAGTGGAGTTATGAAATAAAAAATATTGGAATGCTAATAAATATATGGGAGAATTCTTTTTAGTGGTAAATATTTATGAAGAAACTACCCAAATTACTAACATTAGTAAAACTAAAGAAAAACACTGTATGTCATATGAACTTATGCTAGTACATTTTCACCTTGGATTTGTCTAGGAAAAATGTTTATTTCATATTGCAAAGTATTTATAAAAAGAAAAATGTAGGTGTGGATTTCATTTTAATATAAATGAGATACATTACAGATATGTTGAAGATAGAAATGAAATTCTTATCACAATGATAATCAATACTGCTCTTTTACCCATATATACATACCTACATACACATAGTCTCTTGCCTTTTTCTGATGTGGAATTTGGAAAAGTGTCTGAAGGTGGTTGTTGCTTCTTGTGGACTCTACATTATGTGTAATACAATATGAAATGGGAATGCTTGGGTGAGAATTTGCTAGAAAAAGCCATGTGATAGGAGACAGTATGAAAAGGTCTTTTCTGCTCTGGAATGGCATCTGTTTAGAAGTGTTACTAGCTATGAATGAGTAATATTTTTGCATTCAGAGCACGTTCAGCACTTTTTCTCAAAGAAAATTATTAAAAAGTTAAGGAATCATATGTGGTGATTTAAGAATGGAAGCTGAAAACCAAGAGCGAGCAGCACTTGCACAATTTTATCATCTAGTCCTTTCAAATTGAACTAGAGATAATATCCTCAAGTAACTACATCATTTATTTGCATCCCCTCTCTCTGTAATAACAAGAAGTGAGGGTCAATTGAAGATCTTGATTTCCACAGTGAAAATACGTGGTGATAGGAATCAGGAAACTGCACATTCACGTGAAAGGAGTTAAGCATCTTGCTACTTGTTTGTGCAAGGTAGCAAGGTGCTTTCTTCTGTACCTTCACCGGCAAATACTTGCATGTATCTGTTTTGTTTTCCTATTAAATTTAGCATTTGGCATGGCAAAGGTCTCATGCACTTACTGTGAAGCTATTAAATCCCTTCTGTTTTAATGAGTGGCATCAGAACAGATATTTACAAGGTTGTTGCCACATTATGTAATTGACTGTGATCCATTTAATTTTTTTTTTGTTTCTGGCAAAATGAAATGAGACAGAAGGTCACAGCATCATTATGTCTGTTTTATTTGCAACTCACACAAGCTGCAGGATTCCTAGAGGGTTTCTTTTTCTGATTTTCAGTGATTTTTGCGTTGAGCTCTTTTATTCATGCAGTCTGCCATTTTGAAAATGGTAGGGACATGCAGAGGATGATTGTGTTACTAGATAAATTCTGGGCAGAAAGCTGTGAGAGGATGTTTTCAGATGTTTGCACCCATACTCCTGCATTCATATTTGTAAGAAACTGCCAAAGGATGAACGTGGAGAGCAGCACAATGAAGTGAGCCAGAAACACTGTGGCCAGAAATAAGGAAGTGAAAGCAATATAGTGTTTATCTTTTAAGTATTGCACACTGTTGCCACATCACAGAAAAAGCATCAGCAGAAGTTATAAATGGGTGGGTTTGTAAATGAAGGAATTGGGGCAGTTATGGAAGCTGATTTCTCATTTTCACTTGTGTTTTCTTCCTCTTCCCAATGCAGTATCTCCCCTAACCTTGAGCTGGAAGCTCTTTTTAAACGACACTTCACTCAGGTGGAATTTTATCAGGGTTCAGTCCTTAATCCCCATGACCTGGCGAGAGTGAAGGTAACAGCTCTGTTGTTCTGTTCTCCTGCTAATTGACTTTTTTAAAGTACTCATTGCATTATTTGGAAAAAAACCAGTAAAACCCTTCTTCATGTACCCCAAAAGATTGTTTTTCCATCTCTGTTAGCTTGACTAATAAATTATAATGTCTGTCCTTGTAAACCTTTTTTCCCCTATATCTTTAGATCTTCAAAACTACAGTAACAGTGACTTAAGACACATTGTCTACCATTCCATTAAACTCTTTATGAATGTTTCATTGAGGTTTCAAGAGTCTATTTTACATTAATGTTTGATATAGCAGAACATTGTCTTACAGTAGCAGCTTAAAATACTATTGTCTTAACTTATCAGAACAATTAAAAATATTTTTTCACCTCCTGAACCTTTTTATATTGTCTAGAATACTGAAAGAAAAATACATTTTAAGATTTTTTGATAATTAAGCTAAAGTTAGATAGTTTTATTGTCTAGAATTCTAAATGGTAAATTTTTTTGTACTCTTAAAGCAAAGCATGAAGCTTAAAAAAATTTTAAGGAAAAACCGAGTTGTCAGATACATCAGTAACTTTTTTGTTTCTTTTTTTTTAACCCCCAGCAGAATGTAAACTGGCTACTTAAGCCAAGAATATTTTAGCATGGTGTTGTTAATCCTTTCTGGAGTTCTAATCATGTCTTTTGTCCATTTTGGCTGCAGAAATTGCTTAACCTTTTGTAGCCCAATGCACACAATTTCAGTTCATCAGAACATGTTCTAATTATGACCATAAAATTGTGTGTTCGTATTTTCTGTTCTGTATTCCCCCCTTATTTGTGTTGATAGTTGGTTATATACACTTAAAAATACTTTTTTCATATGCTTTAAGTTCTGTAAAGCTAAGGTTTTTCTGAATCTAGAGATCCTCTGAACAGATCAGTTGTCTTCCTCTTACTTTCTAAATCTGGTCCTCAGATTCTAAATCATCAGTTCAGCCTCCTCTTCCTGTCTATAATAGGAGGTACTTAAATTCCCAAAGAAAACTGCAGGACTTGTGGGAGCACTGTCCTGATGTAACAGGAACTTTGTATGGATTGAAGGATCTAAATTCCAATATCTGGTTACAAAAGATTAATGTTAACACCTTCATGGCTCAGCTGATACAAAGTAAGAGTCAACAATTGAACTACTAACCTGCTCTGATCATCATAATCAAGTTTCAAGAAATTCCTATGTGTGTATAATACATGTGTGAGAGCAGTTATAATCACTCACATTAACTCACATTAGCCTAGTAACATTTTTCATTAGCAATATTAAGAACTGACACTCACACTCATGATGGCAGTGCTGGATTCCCTGATACTTTATGATGAAAGAAGAGCTGGAAAGAGATGTTGCTATATATGTTTTCTTTTTCTTTGGTGTCTCAGATAGAGTCAGCAGATGCGTGCCTAATCCTTGCCAATAAATACTGCGCTGACCCAGATGCTGAAGATGCCTCCAATATTATGAGGTAAACTCTGGAGTTTTTAATAGCTTTTTGGTTCTTAACTCTGATTAGATAATTTTCTGATCTATTGCACTTAAAGAACACTGTAGGATTTTTTTTTTTTTTGGACAAATTAAGTGTCACAAAAGTTCAGAGGTGAGAATATCCTCAATTCCTACCTAAACTGTTTGAGTTAGCTGCTTTATTGTGTGTCAGAAGAGACACTTGGAGCACAAGCTTTGGTACTCTTAGTAATTTTGCATTCATAACTGAATGGAGAGAGGAAGGGGAATGCAGTTATGTCGTTGCAACAATATGTTATGAGAGTTCATGTACTACATGGGCTGCTATTAATGATGGGACAGAAGAACACTTCATCACTTCACATCTCTTTTCCCCCGGTATATCTACTCCTACAAGCAATGTGCTGCTCAGGGGATAGCAGAGCATACAGTGGAGTGGTGTCCTATCTCCATCCTGCTTTTTTTAGGCTGAAGACCAATCATTACTTTTTTTGATTGACAAGCCATTTACCACAATAGGGACCACTAATCTCCTTCTGCTTTCCTCCTTGAAGTCTCTGAAGGAAGGAGATGAAACAGTCAGTCAGTAGGTGGCCAATCAGTAGAGTTACAACAAACCTATGCCATTCCATGTTTTATGTTTTGTTCATCCTGCTCTTGTTTCAATGAGATTGTTTTGTTAGAAGTTCTTTATCATTGGATTGGCCAGTGTTATGAACAAATTTGATTGGCTTGTCAGATGTTTGCATGCTGTGCAAGGAAGGGAAGAAATAAAAAATGAGTTATAAAATTGCTCCTCTGGAAAACTTTCACTGCGTGCAAGAGATGTGGCTGTCTGAGGAAGATGCAGAGCTTAAATATACCTAATTTCATTTTGCAAGCTTGGTGTGGGTTGCAATGCGAGAAACTTTATTTTGACATTGATTGCATAAATACATTAAAATATTCCAGTTGGAGATTAGTGAATTCTTAAAAGATTTAATACATTTAATGTAATAAAATGCAAAAGTGTAATTTGAGAGTGGAATTCTCCGGTGTTTTCTCACAATTTAATTCAAAAAATTGAATGTTTAATTAAACAACTCAGCGAGAAAGGGAAAATTAGAAGAAAGACTTGTTAAAGTAATGCAATTTTTTTATGTTTCCCATTCTAGCTTTGATATGCTTCAAAGCACAAGCCAGACTTGCAGTTTTCAAGATACTTTCTACAAAACACCGATGTAAACACTTATGGCATTCAGTCTTATGAGACTGATGGTACCATAATAAGACAGATTTTTTTTTTTTTTTTGTTTTATCTTCTTTCTCTACCTTTAGTTTGTAAATACAAAACTGATTTTTTTGGCCTGTTCATGTCTTTAATTTTGTTCATTGCTTTTTTGTAGTGCATTATCAATCCACACATTTCTCAAGCAATTTTTTTCCATCCACTTAAAATCTATACACAGTTGAGTATATATTATGCTCATGAAGTAATTAAGAATGCAGAGAAGCTACATATTATGAAAGTAGCCTCATATTTTATAAATTCAGTGTTCAGATATCAATTTTGATATTGAGCTTTGGAATAGTCCATAAAAATTAAGATGAATTTGAGTGTGTAAAGTCATTATTTGAGGTACTTTGGTATGATGAATGTCAAGCAGCTATAAATAAATCATATGTGATGGGGAAGGAAAAAAGGCATTTTTTTCAGACATTTATCATTGGAAAACTTGATCAATTATGTTGATACAAAGACATGAAGGATAATCACTGAAGATGACATAATAGTTCCAAGTGTATTATTTTCCTAGGAGAATAAATGGAATATCTGAACAGATTTGCTAAAACAAGTCTCTTTTTCTGCAAACTTCATAAGAGAAAACATTCAACTGAATATTTCCTGATGTTTGTTTTACTCTATTATTAGCCACTCAATTTGACTAGGTGTATATATTGCATAGTTCTGACTTCAGTCGATATGCTTTACAGCCAGATGGATATGAGGGTACAATTTTAATTGTGGACTTGCAACACAGTGGAGTTATTTGGATGCATTATCTAAATATCCTATCAGTTAAGAGGTACTTTATTAGTTTTTCCTTTTCTTTTTAGAGTTATTTCAATAAAGAATTATCATCCGAAGATAAGAATTATCACTCAGATGTTGCAGTATCACAATAAGGTAACATGATGACCAACAATGTTTCTCTTTGTTTTTTTGCTACATTGCATTCACTCCTACATAACTAGTTCCACTAATAATAAGCCTTTTTCTTTCCAAAGTAAAACGTCCTAATAAGCCTTGTCATGCAATCTAGTTGCAAAGCAATTCAGTTTTATTTATATATGCAGGGGACTTTATCAAAATCCTGACATTTATTAGTTGCCTAGGATCTAATTCTCAAAGCTACGGTGTCCATAGTTGCTATTGATTCCAGATTAGCTTTTAGCTGCCTAACTTCTATAAGTATTGCATAGTTTATTATGCTAGAATTACCCAGGATGGATTGGTGGCCTCTGGACAATTAATCTGAAGTTGGTTCTTTGTTCATAATTTAAAAAACCCCAAACAAAACAAAACAAAAATCCAAGTAGTGATTATTGTCTTATGGGAGATTATTGTGATTTTTTGATTATGGCATGACAATGTAGACCTGAAATTGTCTAACAGCAGGCACAAAATAAATAATAGTATTACATTCATATGCATTACTATAATATACATTCATATAAAACATAGCTGAGTTGTGGAATTTGCTGCTATAAATACTGTGGAGTTCAAAATTATAAGTTCACTTTGGAAAATAATTTGGAAATTTTTTTGATGCAGATTTGTGGACTTTAAACACAGTAAAGTCAGTTTATTCAATCCTGAGATGAGGAAGTCCATAAACTGCTTATTATCAGCGTTAGGAAGTATATATGAGAGAACAGACTACTCATATGTGACCTGCTTCTTTTATTATTTCTAAAAGCATCAACCGCTGCCCAGTGTTTGAGAAGAAGATGACTGGGTAGACCTTCATTCAATGAAATACACAATAAATCTCATAGTAAGGAGGTTTGCTAACAGCTCCTTACACCTGTAACCTTTAGCTATACCAAGAGCAGTTACTGTTGCTTGTTATGTCCTCTTCCTTTATGTTATGGAAGAAGCCTGTCTCTTTATAGAATAAAAACAAGGTGTTTCTCTGCTTTAAACAGGTTCAGAGGGAGAGATCTTTTAAATACTGCAGTTTTTGTTTGTTATTCCAGTGAATGTGTCTTCAAGAATAGCTTTTATCAAAGTGCTGAACTGTGGTATTAACTTAGGAAGGGAAACAAGGATGTAGGCTTCTGTGTTTCCTTATGTCTATACAAATGTAGAAGGTACATGTAAGGGAAAATCCAGTAGAGTTATGCCAATAACTGAACAATATTTATACCTATATAACTGACCAGTGTCAATGTGTGTTGATCATCTATTTTTTTCTCCTTATAAGAATCAGTCTTAGAAAAAAATTCGTATTTTCACTGTCAAGCGCTATCCTTCAGAGTGGAAGAAATTAAACAGAAAAGACAGAAGATTTCTATGCCTTTTTAAATGACAGTGTCCAATAAAGGTTGCAGCTTCACATGAGTTCTAATCTAAGTTGTATTAGCTCCCTGTATACTGTGTATGTTCCTTATCAGTCAGACTGTAGCTTAAAGTGGTGTAAAAGGAATATACAGAAGGGAAGGAAAACTTTACAGTATTCTCTTTGTTCAGGAGTGTCAAAGCCAGCACATGACTTGAGAAATATAAGATTTTATCTGTAATAAGTAAGAGCAGAACACTTCTTAGCATAGAATTAAACTCTGAAGTACTTGAACTTCTTCTACCTACTCATAAAACATTAAACCATTAACAGAGAAAATCATTCACTGCTATTTTCTTCAATACCATACTATATTTCAGGAAGTATTTCTGGTTACTCACCTGGGGGATATTTTGTTTGTTTGTTTTCCAGGCCCATCTGCTAAATATCCCAAGCTGGAACTGGAAAGAAGGGGATGATGCAATCTGTCTTGCTGAGCTCAAGCTGGGTTTCATAGCCCAGAGCTGCCTGGCACCAGGCCTTTCAACAATGTTAGCCAACCTCTTCTCTATGAGGTCATTCATAAAGGTAATGTCTTGTCTCATTAGAATGTATTAGTCTGCAATTCAGGTTGTCAGAGAGTTGAGTAGAGAACATGACTCAAATGTGAAGCAGATAGGAAGACATTAACAGATTTTGTAAGACTGAAAAAAACCAGCACACACTTCCCATACAAAAGTTTTCTGCTGCAAATTAGGCAATAAACCAGATTCTGTCAAGTTATGTTTTTATTTTTATTCAACAAGCGTCTGACCTTTAAACGATTTTCAGTAGCAGCATCCATTACTAGGGAGATATTTCTGGTGTTTGGTGGTTTTGCTTGATTTTGGACAAACCACATGTATGTATGAGAAAAGTCACTGCTGTAAAGCAAAAATATGATTTATGGAAGTCCAATATAGCAACAAAGTGCCCAGAAAAAGGGACTGGTCATTTTGGTCTTTTACATCAAGTGGCTAGAGAACCTCTGACTGTGAGTAAATAAAGAAAATGTGTTAGAACCAAAACCTGAACTTCCCACAACATCATTCATGTATTTGCTTCTCCTCAGTCTTAATTCAAGTTATTTTAATAGTGATTTTAAATATGCAGTGAGAAAATGAGAGATTCACAAAATGATAAACTGTACTATGGGGGAACTGTACTTTAGACACACACATTTATTTGCACACACTGGATTTGCAGCTAAAACATTTAAACACGTCAAAAACTGGAAATGTAAAGCTAGCATGTTTCCAGAAAATATATCTAACCACTTCTGCCATTATCTTATCCACCTTAAATCCAATATTTTCTTATTTTATAACATATAATAATTCCAGTACAGTAATAGATTAGACTATCTCACTGATAAACAGTTTTAAGATGTAGGCTCGGGTTTGCAATGCACTACTCAGATTATATTTCTATATGCACAGGATAAGCATAAAAATAGCAATGAATTAGATTGGGAGGAAGCCATCAATGTCACTTTTGCTCTTGTGTCTGTGATTATATACAGTTAGAGCAGTGTGCAAGACATACCTTAACTTGTGTGACTTCAGATGTCATCTTCAGATGGCACTGGGAGAAAAAAATGCCATAAGAGAGTGCATTGAGATGGCAATACTCTGTTAGCACTGGTTAAAAATATGTCTACCACGTAACCAAGAATGAATTTTCTAGGCATGTAAAATGCACATCATCACTTCCAAAGATATCTGACTAATTTAAAATCTGAAGCCAAATAATGTATAAGAACTGAGACATATTTATGAGAATCCACCTTTATTGGTGATTACAAAAAGTTTGTTTATTTAGCTGAAAGGATGTTCTTTTTCATGTCTGTCTCACTCTGAAAACTTGAAAAAGAAACCTTACTGAGTGGTGGCTGTGAATCAGAAGTGTATTGTAGCAGAGCAGCTACATTGATTAGAATTGCTAAAGAGGACTATATTGAAGAGAAATATTCCCATTCCCTAAAAAGAACTTTCACCCCTTTTCATTAAGAACATTGAAAGTATTGTCAGACCTTCATAAATTCCTTGGGCAAATACTACTAGTGGAGTCTCCCACAAGTCAAGAGATTGCCAGGAAAATGTACTGAAACTTCTGTATTTTTTAATGAAAGCTTGAAATGTGTGTTTGTTCCGCCTTCTTCATAACGTGATTAGAAAGTGATTTAATGTGCAATAAATGTTTGGTCGGTCAAACACAAATGAATGTGATTGATGGTGACGTTGCACACATTTAACTCATTATGTGTTACTTTACAGCAAAATGATTTGTGTAAACAGTCTGCTCAGTATTAAAAGTAAAACAAACTAAGAAACCTCAAAATATTATATTTGTTCCTAATATTTTCCTTTTGGTTTTAGCTGTGTAATCTCATATGGAATCTTTTATGTTCTTTTTGGCACCAAACTGAACAAAAAGGAAGTCAGCTCAAAAAGATTAAGGTTCTGTAAACACTTAAAGACAGATAGATTGCACAACAAATTATATGTTAAGGACAAAATGCCCTCAACTTTACACCTGTAAACTATATTTCAATAGTCCAGTTTTCTTATAGCAGAGACTGTTTTTATTGTATTAATAAAGGAATAGAGACTATTTATTAGCTTGAAAAGTCTCTGAAAAAGATGGAAATACTGTACTGTACTGCAATTTCTGTATTGTTTGGACTACCAAATGTGTACCAGAAGTCTACCCATATGAGAAACATTGCAAAAAGCAGGTAAATGGAATAATAGGAAGAGGTGGTCAAATTTTGTCCCTCTATAAAATCATGCAAGCCAATATGAGTTAGTATTGTTGTGTAAATTAATAAAATGTGGAATGTGGCGCTTGAGTGTAACACTAGTCCACAACCAAATTAGTTTTGTCTTTGCTCTATTGGTAAGACAGTCAGTACACTTAATTCCAAATCTGAAAAATTATCTGGAGCTGTCTCTGTTATCCACTAAGCTATTTTGAGAGCAGGAATGCTCTGTGGGCTCTTCTGGCAGCTTTTGCACACCCAGTGCAATGCCTACTTTACATTCCTTTCTAGTCCAGACTGAAAGAGAGACATAATAAAGCCACACAGATTTACATCAGTTGGGTGCTTACCTAAACTGATGGAACGCATCAACATGTGTACTATTTATTATTGGCCACTTAGGCAGCCTTGATCTGTCTTACTGTGTGAAACTAGGGTATGCACAGTGAATTCCTTCAAATGTAAGAGAACTTTAAAGGAGGATTGAGGAGGAAATGCAGCTTCTTGATTTGTTGTGAGATTCTTCATGAGACTACAGAACAAACTCATTACATGATCCTCCTCACAGGATTTAGATTACATATTAATGTAACCTGTTACCAGAGACATTAATTCTCTAAGAGATCTTCCTGAATGTAATGTTTTTAATCATTAAGTCTAGTAATTAACACCTGTTGTGGTTTAAAACTGTTTGCTATTTAGTAATAGTATCAGTCCTTGTGATCACAGCATATTTGCCTCGGGCTGAAGTCTACCGTGGAGTGCATTTTCAGTCAGTCATTTGAACAGGTTGACACCAATCTATCTTTTGCATCCTGGCTGGATAGAAATACTGCCCTGGTTTTTAAATTTGAAAGTATTGGGAGTAGAGCCTGCATGCCTTTCAGTTCAAACTCATCAAGGCCAGCATCTAAAAAAAGAATTAGATGTCATAATATTTCAAGAATACTCTTAGTGCCTTGACTTACTGCAAGATTCTACATTATTATGAACAATGAAAAATGCATAAGTCTTTCATTTGAAATTAATCTTAATTAGCGTAGTTGCTGTTTTATAAAACATACTCCTTTTATACCAATTTTATAAAACATTCTTGCATACAGAAAGCTGTGAAAATAATTGACTGAAATTGTAGTTTTCATAGTACTAAGGATATTTGTTAGCTTTGATTTAAGCAGACAATGGAATTGAGTAAAGAGGTAGTTGATAACTTATAATAGTTGAGGAAATTCAATTATAAGACTGTAAATCTAAGAAGCTTCACAGGATTGTAAGAACTGCTTTCAACCAATTATTTATCTATATGTCAGATTTAGATATCCATATATAAAGACATAATAAAAGTAGACATTCACTCAATCAATTTGTGCAACTGAAAGGGCATTATAGGTGAACATGAGGAAATGTTTAAACTACATTGCTTTCAATACCTTTTCAACTACCAATCAAGAATATTCAAGGACGTATTGTGTTAGGACAAGGGGTAATGGCTTTAAACCAACAGAGCACAGGATTAGATTAGATATTAGGATGAAATTCTTTACTATGAGAGGGCTGAGGCACAGGAACAGGTTGCCCAGAGAAGTTGTCGTTGCCCCATACCTGGAGATGTTCAAGACCAGTTTGATGGGGTTCTGAGCAACCTGGTCTAGTGAAAGGTGTCCCTGTCCACGGCAGGAGGGTTGGAACTAGATGGTCTTTGTACTGTTTTATTCTCTTTCTGTGGTGGTGATGAGCTGATCTTATTCAATGCTAGGGAGCAGACTTTACATCTGCTTTCATTGTGCTATAAACGAATTTTCATTGTGTCACTTCCTTAGTATTTATAAAAACACTCCACCATCCTTTCCCTTGCAAAATGCAATAAAAGATCCTAGGTCACACTGCAACTCTAGCATTTGTTCTCTGTCTTGATAGTGATACTTAGATCTTGACAAAAGAGATTATATAGCATTATGAGGTTCAGATATACTCAGTCTCTTTCATGTAACTATTTATATCATTACGCTGAAAAGTGAATGCTATGAACAAGATAGATCATGTGGAGCTACAGAGCTCCCAGTAATTACACTGCCAAGGTGTAGGGCTGGGTGTATTAAGGGTTTTGGTTTTTCTCCTGCAATACTAATGGTTGTGCTTGCAAGATGAACATCATTTTTTCATATCTCTGTCACCATGTCTCACCAGGAATTGATTGCATTATGTAAATATATTTGCTGATAACAATATTGTATCTATATACAGCCAGAGGAGAGGAGTATTGTAACTTAAAAAAAGATAGAGATGAAAATTACATTTCTTCTCTTGGGATGCACTATGTAATTTTCCAGCTATTCTTCATATAGGGTATTGAATCAGTGGGTCATTTGTTTTATGACTGTCTAGGAGACAGAATTGCAGTGTAATGTAGTCAGGGAAAGATAATCGTGTATTTACCTTACTAGAGAGGAATTTGGAAGATATAGTTACAAGTCATTGTGATGGTCTGGCACATTCTGTGTCAGGTCCAACAGTGTACCTAAACTCTCTTTACCTTTTTTTCCGAGTTATGATTGGAGTAAGTTAAATATTTGTTAGTATTTGTAAAAATTTTCTCTAGGGTTTATAAGGTTCCTAAAGTAAAAAATGGCTACTTACTGTTCATACCAACACAGCATCCTGTGACTAGCATATTTGGCTTCCTGGAACCCACAATACTTAATACATATAGATTTATGCTTTCTGCTGGAATGTGTTTGTTAAGCCAACAAGCAAAGCTTTACCACAAAAAACTTTTACTGAAATGAAATCTACTCTCTTTGTCTCAACTGTGTTAATTCATACTGTACAAAGGTAGAAAGTACAAGTATTCAGACATTGCTGTCAGGACCTGAAAGAGGGTAGACTAGTAATTATTTGAAGTGACAAAATTGTCTTAATAATTGTAACATTGAAACTACTGTAGGCTTTTCTTTGTTTTGCAAGTTAAAATCAAGGTTGTTTGTCTTTCACTAACTAGGTAAATACCATTCATAGTTTTACATTTTTACATTTGTGGTAACATTAATTAGTAGCATCTTGAACTGAACTCACCTCAAATTCAGCTCTTTTTTGTTTCTATAAATTTTACATAAAATTTAACTATTCCCCTTTGTTGTCAGGCAACTGACATGTGAAATATCCATTTTGCAAGTGCATATGGGATAGATTATTTCATCTCTACATTAACAGTTAAATTTGTGCAACTTACTCTTAATGTACAGATAAGTAGGCCCAGAGATGAAAACTGGACAACAGTAATTTAAATTATGTTAAAGTATTTTAATGAAAAAATTGTAAAGAATCAGATTTATTTTGGAATTCAGTTCTTGAGATTAACTGAAGCAATATACTTAAAAATAACATCACAAAGGCTTAAATTAGTCAAGATCATAATGAGTCCCAAAAGTATTTTTCCTCGCTTCAAGGATTTTGAAATTAGTATCTAACTGACATGGATTATAGGAGAAACTGATTATGTTTATCTGTGGGACCCTATTCTATTAAAACTTATGGTAACTGCAGGACTCAAGGAAATAAAAAAGAAATACTGAATACTGATGATTCTTAATAGTAATTTCAGTTCTAGCAGACCAGCAGGTACTGTCTTTCAAAAGATACCAGGCAGGTATCTGTCTCTTAGAAATCCCAGGGAAAACATAATGGTTCAAATGGAGATAAAATGGAATGGTCAGCTTTAGTCCAGTGTTATAATGATCTTATAATAACATTTTATAGCATCCCAAAAGCAACTATTCTTTAAATTCATTAATCAACAATTCATGGTATCCTAATAGAACATATCTTAAACGCTCCAATCACTTCATGAAGGTTATTTTAACACTAACTGGTATCTATGAAGCTTGATCACTGATTTGTGAATGAGTTTGTTTTTTTCCAGTCCTTTCTTGGTCCTTGAAAGAGGTGAATATTTGACTATAGGTCTGATCCTTCCTCCAAATCAAAACCATCTGCCTAAAGAAAAGAAAGCAAGGGAAGAAAGTATAAAGGGAAACACATAATGCATTTGGGTTTTTTTTCAACCCCAGGTGGTGTCAATCTAAGAAAAAGCCACAAAATAGACCATAAGTTACAAACATGCCTTTGCTATCATTACTCTTATTTTTTTACCGAGCCTGCACTTTATCTGTTTTCTCTATATAGAGTTGCTGATCAGCAACATTTGCAAGTTTCCCATAAATAAAAGAGTTATAAAAATGTGATATGACTTCTCTGTGTGTGGTGGAGAAAAATACAATGCAAATCCCTTTTACCATCCCACATGGTCTCTGAATGGTGACACAAGGTCTATGGAAGAAATTTTTCTTGATTGTTTGCAGCCCACTTGTCAGGGAGTATATGATTTGGAATATCTCCATGTTTCAATTTATTCTTGTAGTTGTTTACATCTCCAGAACTAAAGTAACTGGTTACTTGACAGCCTATCAGCAGAAGAGAACTAAAAAAAAAAAAAAAAAAAAAAAAAAAATAGAAAAAAATTATTGTATCTTATATTTCACCAGTTTCATTTTTTTGAAAGAGTACCTTTTGCTTAGTTTAACATGGGGGAAAAAATTGGTGAATCCCAAATTAGTACTTGGCCTCTAGGAAGGCTGTAGACTGCGATGACGTTACTCCTTAGTCTCCTCTTCTCCAGGCTGAACAGACCAAGTGACCTCAGCCACTCCTCTTATGGGTTCCCCTCCAGACCCTTCACCATCTTTATAGACCTTTTTTGGATGCTCTTTAATATCTTTTTATCTTTCCTATATTGTGGTGACCAAAACTGCACACGATATTCTGCCTGATTTGAGAAAATTAAAATCTTTAATCTCTCAGTCTCTCTTTATATTTCTTTCATGTTTACTATATAGTCAGGTAGACTCTGGTTAATGAAAATGTGGTAGCTTAAAATGTAACAAAAGAAATATATTGCATTATTTTGCTACTCTGATGTAATTGACATGTTTCTCTCTAATTTTATCTGTACTGTATTGTCATACATATTTTTTTGCTGCTGTGTATAATTCTTGCAAATATGAATTTCTCTGTTAGCGCAGTTTATGTGGCACAATTAGTGAATAAAGCCAAAGAGATAATTACACACAGGAATGTCCCATTGTGGTTGAGATTTTTACACTATTTTAATGAGATGTAATATATAGGGAAGCGACTCTTAGGACTCCTTAGGTATTTCAGGCTGTGTGTTTGTGGTGGTTTCCATAGTTTTTCGAGAAAGGTCTCTTTGTGAATGACAGTCAAACCTCAAACAAACTTTTTATGATGGCATAGAGAACTGGGATTTCAACAGTGAACAACTTCAGCATACGACATATATCCAGTCATATCAGCTGACTCTGTACTTACAGAGTGTCTGAGACCTAAGCTTTATATACATGACATGACATCCATGGACCCCAAGGCAGCAGCAGGAAGCTATGTGGGACTGCATGTGTGTCTCAAATATCACTAGAAACTTCTGCTTAGGCAAATATATAGAGTTTTTATGGTAATCCTGTAGCACCTCCAACTTGTTTTCCTTTGTACCTTTGGCAGTAAAAGACCTCTGAATTTAGCAGTAGAGGTTTTTTTCAGTAGCTGTCCTAAGCACTGATGAACATTGAAAAAATTGTTTCAATGTATGTTTCTCATACTTCCTTTTTGGTTAGAGGTGCAGAGAAGAAAAAAAAATTAAACAAACAGGTTTGACTGCTGATAATTCCTAAAAAAGGTGAAAATAATTAAGACATTGTTAGAGACCCAAATAATAATATAATGCAACCTGTGGAGCAAGTCCAGAGGAGGGCCACAAAGTTAATAAGAGGATTGGAGCACCTCCCCTACAAAGACAGACTGAGAAAGTTGGAGGTGTTCAGCTTGGATAAGAGAAGATTGTGTGGAGACTTCATAGCAACCTTCCAGTATCTGAAGGGGTCCTACAGGGAAACTGGAGAGGGACTCTTTGACAGGAGCTGTAGTGAGAGAGAGGACAAGGAATAATGGGTAAAAACTGAAAGAGGGGAAATTTAGGGATGTTAGGAAGAAATTCTTTACTGTGAGAGTGGTGAGATACTGGAACAGGTTGCCCAGGGAGGTTGTTGTCCCAGTCTTGGCAGAGTTCAAGGCCAGATTAGACAAGACCTTGAGCAACCTGGTCTAGTGGGAGGCATCCTTGCCCATGGCAGGGAGGTCAGGACCAGATGGTCTTTAAGGCCGCTTCCAACCCTTAACATTCTATGATTCTATGATTTTCAAAAAGAGAAAATTGAAAAACCTTTTTCCTTAAGCTCTCTACAACCTTATTTAACCCCTTGCTAAATGTGCTTGACAAGAATTAAGTGTATTATTTTTACAAAGGGTACCTAATTTTCTGACTACAGGGACTCTGTTTTAGTTTTTGTCAGCATTTCAGGAAATTCTGTAAGAATAAGTAATGTTAATTGTCATAAGAGTCTACTGACTTATTTGTTATAATCTTATTCATGTCTAAGCAGTTGTTTGCAAATTTTAAAGAAAACTATGATTTTTACTCAGAACTCTGCATCTTGTTTCTTTTAGATTGAGGAGGATACGTGGCAGAAATACTACCTGGAAGGAGTTGCAAATGAAATGTATACAGAATATCTGTCTAGTGCCTTTGTGGGTTTGTCCTTCCCTGCAGTTTGTGAGTAAGTAGAAATACATATTAATATACGGAAGTATTTGCCTTCTCTCAAGAGAAGTCTGTTTTTTGCAGGAGACCTTTTCACTCTGCTAAAGTCCTAATGTTGCTACTTCATATGGTGTCTAATAAACACTAAAGCAATCAATGCATGGAAGTATCTGAAACATTGTAATGCCTGTTTTCAGAATAGACTTGGAATTAAATGATTGTAAATGAAAGCATGAATGTTTTCAGTGTTGAACAAATTCATCAGCAATCCATTTAAATTGAGTTATTTACTCACAAGTGCTGTTCTATTGTTTCTTCTAATGATTCCCATTCTTTGAATAGCGGTTGTCAGCATCACCGTCTTGGCTAATGTACTATTCCAAGGAAACTATTCATTAATTTAAACATGTCATTAAGTCATATAACCCGTGTGACACCCAGAGCTCTGTGGAACTGGTTGCAAATGACTTGTAATAAGTGAAATATGTCAGAAAAGATATGTCTGTTCTGTTATGAGAAAGGACTATTTAAAGCACGTAGTACATAACCAGAGCATAAACCATTCTACAGCTTTATTTATAGACACTCAGAATGCTTATATTTGTTGTAGAATGGGTCTATGAATGAGAGATTTTTATGTAAAAGGTTTCTATGACAAATTCTGTGGCCACGTAATCAGATCGGTTTAGCACACTTGTATTTCCTCTTCAGTTGGCATTGCCCTTCACTCCAACCATGCCACAAAGGCTGTGGACAGCTTTTGCCAGGGACTGTTCAAATGCTTAATAAGAAACAGACCTTACTCTGAAGAGTTTGATGTTGAACTAGTTAACGCAGAAAAAGTTCTGAAAACTCCATTCTTAGAGAAGGAAGTAGAAGAAGAAGTAAAATATCATCTCTTATATAAAGGAGGATGATTTTGCTTCTACTCCTCTAACTTCTCACTCCTTTTCCAATTTTTACAAGAGCATAAACATAGGTTATGGCATAAAAATGAGGGAGAAACAACTGTTAGACAAATATCCATTTAAAGATCTGTCTTTGTTTGAGATGTAGCAATGACAGAGCCCAGTCTTCAATTTGCTACTCAAATTAGGGGCTTACAATCCATCCTTCTACTGTGTTAGCCAAACTGTCACTAGGTTACTGAGGGGAAAAGTGTATTACTAGACTACAAAAGTCTACCTGGATATGTTGAAATAGAAAACCTCATAACATATTACAGAAATGTGTATTATATTCAGAATGAATGGTAATTTGTGCCGTTTACACTACCTACAGTCATGCAAATTAACTCTCCACTGCAAACCATTTTCAAACCTGTCGAGTTTCTATATGAGTTTGTAGAAACATGTGACTGAGACTGTATTTGATATAAAGGTGTCATTCATTTAACTGTGCAGGTAGAATGGAGATAAAATAATCAATAAAGGGTGTTTATTGAGATTTGGGAACACATCTAAATTTTGGAGGTCTCCTCAGGCATTTGGTTATCTGAAACAGCAAACTGTGTTTACTAGTTTAAATGAAACAAAAAGGTTTATCTCAGATTTTTCACCACTTTATAACTCTATTACTTTCAGGTTAATTAAAGCACATTAAAAATTAAAAATTAGTATTGCTTATTAATGAGTTTGGTGCTTATTAATGAGTTTAGGTATTTTCATTACTGTAAGAATTGACTATTCAATTTCTAAAAGAACCAATGAACAGGAAAAGTCCTTTGCATTGATTTGTGAAGGGGAAATTAAGTCATTGGATAGGCTTAGTGTGTTCAGCCACCCAGGAAATATACACACTTTGAGAACAATTTTTGTAGTGCAGCTTTTAAAATTATTGCAGTCAGTGACATTTTAAAAGTCTGAAGCTAAACAAGATGTTCTGCTTTCTTAGGTTATGGGTCTTAATTGTCAGTCTAGGAATGTGATTCTTTGGTAAATAGGCTGCCATACAGTTTTGATAAGAAACATAAAGAGAGTGCAGAGACAGTGGGGATGGGACACTCAATACTGTTGAAGAATTTCAAGCTGTTGGTGTCAACACTTGGGTGAAGAATTAGATGACAATAGAAGTTAGTCTACAAGTTCTATTTTTAACTAAATGTGTGTGTACTGTATGAACATATTCTAAACAATAAATTTTCAGTATGTGAATGTGATTCCTGACATTCTGTGCCCTTGGATATTGCTGGTCCAGGTGTGGATGATGCTGACTGAAGATAAACTAACCAAATTGTCTCCCCCTACCCTGGTTCTAGGCTCACTATTTTCTACTCAAAAATTTTCCTAATGAGACTAGCCATCTATGGATTGACACTTGACCTAGCAGTGGAAACAGCATATGAAATGTGTGCACTCCTCCTAATATGTATTAAATTAGACATATTTCTTGTTTGTTATTGAAGAAATTGAATATTATCAGTTCAGTAGCCAATTCCTTGTTTTTAGATAAGTATGTGATTGATACAAAGTATGAATAATATTGCTTAATTTGCATAAAGAAGATAAATATTATTGACATATATGCAAAAATATTAAGAACACTGAAGTAAGGAAATTGGTGGAAAAGCACGGAGCACTGGAGAAGTTAGTGTATGATCAAGAAAATTACAGCCATCTAATTGAAAGATCAGCCCAAGAATCATTTGTGACAAATCTGTACAGCAGGAAGCAAGTAGCATTGACTTTGCATACATTTCAATGGCAGAATTGAAAGATGGTTTCTAGTTATTAAAAAACCCAAACCCTCAGTTTCTTTATTTTCACAGAGCCCCTTAGCTTGAAGCTAATGGTGGTATGCTAACTCACAATTCTGCAAGTCTGTGAATATCACCCTTAAGTTGTTTTAAAAAGTAGCCACTTCAGCAGACTATTATGACTGAAAAAAATGTATATTACAGTATCAGAATGTAATTCCCATATATTGATCATAAATTGCTTCCAATCATGCTGTTCCCCAAGGACAGTAGTTGGAAAATAGTGACTTATTAATAGTGTACTCTCACTTTATTTCAGTATATACATATTTTTCTAAGGAATGCACACTACAATCAACAAATATTTGAAAAATTACCTCAAAACATCCACAACTATAGCCAGATGCAATTTTGTGCTGTGTATCATGATCTTTGTTATTATTGCTTAAGTAGACTTCGTATCACAATGTGTTGGTGCTATTGTTGTCAGCTTCTCAGTTTATATTTTTAGGATCGTATGTGTTAATTATCTTCAAAATAGAAAGATCTTAACATATATTCTGTGTATCCCTAATGGAAAACATGGGGAAAGATCTTAGTGTAAGTTCTCAAAGAAAATACATTCCCCATGGCCTTCTCTCTACATATGTGATGCTGGCTGTGAAAAAAGACTGACTCTTGGCCTCTTCTTTTCCTGCAGACTGGTGTTTGCGAAACTAAAGCTCTTAATGATAGCCATAGAATACAAGTCAGAAAAACGCGAAAGCAGGTATGTCCAATACCTCTAGCTCTTGAAGTTCTGGAATGCACTGCCAAGAATTTTGCTTGCCTTTTTTTTTTTTTTTTTTTTTCAGAATGAACATAACTATTCTTTGAAACAATTCAGAATATAATTAGCATGCCATCACATTACAGCATTTCACATAACACTGAAAGGTGCTTGTTTCTGCCTTATTCCTCCCTAAAATAAATCCAAGTAGTAGAAGGTGAAGAGACAGTAATATATATGTCTCATCTCCAGAAGCACAGTTAATTTTTACTTAGGGAAAAGCTAACAATTTTTTGTTCCTAATGTATCACTTCTAACCAAAGGTCCAACTTACTTTACTGAAAATGGAAAAGTGGAAAACAGATGTCATATCAAAATTCATTATGATTATGTGTATTCTCAAAATACAAATTTAGCCTTGAAATTACCAGTTGGCTGGCTACTTTCCTCAACCAGAAAGAAAAAAATTCATTGTTATTAGTACAGCAGTTCTTGCTTTTTTTTATGCAAAAGTTCATAAAAATCTGATTGACATTGGAATCAAACTTCCATCAACTAGTCTGTCAGTGCTGTAAACAATACTCATTTTTACATAACAAAAATGTTATAAATGTTGTCTGCAACATGTAGAGGAACATTTAATAAAAATATTACAGTACTGACTCTGGATGAATTTGATTTTCCTCTTTCAAAAGTTATATTCTGTGCTGCTGCAGTAAACCTGGAGTGATACATATTAATTAATCTTGTTATTGGCCTTTAATTACTTTTTAGTGGCCAAAAGGCTCTTTTGCGGGCAATTGTTTCTCCTCACAGGAGAGCCGATTCTGTCATTTGAACTCATGCCACAATTTCTGAGGTGTTGCAAGTTTATTTTAATGTTTATTCCTAAATGTCATAATTTTTCTTTATTAAAAATATGTTTAAAACCTATGTTGGGCATTTGACATGGAAAATGCAATGTGGCAACTGTTTAAAAGAGTATTTCCATGCCTGATGGTTGATTTTGCTTGATTCTTTCCTATGTTACAAAGTGAAATGTGAAGTGGTGTATGTGCTATTGGATAGTATTTTTGTTCAGACTATGCTTTTTTGTTCACACTATACTGATTAAGAAATCCTTTTTTCTTTTAAATATATTTTTAAAAATGTTTTCAGCTCCTATGGACTTTTAAAATACTTTTCCATTGAATGATCTCATTCTACATTAGCTAATGTAAAGCCAATGATCTCTTCTTTTGTCTCTAGAAAAAGGAAAAATTGATAGTAATAGCAATGGAACTATTTATCAGATTTTGTTTATCCAGTGTTTAAAAAAAGAAATTGTTTCTGTTTTTTCTCCTAAGAATTATTGCCCAAATTTAGGTTGTCATTGCTTCAGTTGTCATTTACTTACATAAGTGCTAATATTACAGTCTCTTTCAGTAATAACAGATAGTTCTTGGCTTCTTTATCATTCTTTGCACTAACTTCAGTGGGAGTTGGATTGAGTTCTTAATCACAAGGTGATGCAGAGGATCACACAAAAAGTAACACAATGTGATACAAACATATATTCCTTCTTACTTAAAGCCACACAGGTAACAGTTTGCAATTAATTAATTTAGTAGGAAAAAAAGAGCCTAAATTTGCAGGAAAAAATAGTAATAGAGGGATATTAACAGCTTGATTTTGTGAATATATATGTAACAAAAAGCGGACGTATAAGATAGATATTCACATTTTCTTATAACCCTGATCCACCGTAATACCTGCTGATTTTATTAACCAGTGATAATTATATAGTCACTGTTTGGTGAATCACAGAGCTACCTGCAACATATCTTTACTGTTCTATTTGTTCCTGTGCTCTTCAACCCAAATATATTAACTACATATTTGTGGTTTTCTGATCTAGAGCCTTTTAGTCTAACCAGAAAGGTGATGGAACAAAACTTAAGTTTCTCACTTCGTAGGCATACTTGTATTTCCTTGCACTCCTATTAAATGAAAAGATGGGGAATTAAGATAAAAAGTTAGAATAACATGGTTTAGAAGTGCGAGCTCTTTTTGAACAAGACAAATTTGTCATTTTCCAATTATATTTGTTGGTGGTGACATTGAAAATATTTTATTCTCATATCTAAAGTTCTTCATAAAGATGAAATGACAACTGATTACGGGTATCCTTTTAAACTTTCAGTCTTTGTGAGAGTGACCAACAGTAGATATGTGCTGATTTTATGACTGTAGTTTGCATCCATATTTAGTAAAACTACTGAGAGGTTTTTTTTCTGTAGTTTACAATTCAGAGGAACAATGTTAAATATAACTAAAAATTTAGAATGTCACCTAGGTGGCACCCTTTTATTAAGAGGTAATATTTCCTGCCATAATGGAGACAGGTCTAGGAATAGTATTTTCAGGAGCAGAGGAAATTTTCAAAGCATTCTTTGTGCTTAAAGGATGAGAAGCTCTTACTCCCAACAGTTCAATTTTTGTTATTAGCCAAAATAAAATATCTATAGCAGTAAATTATGTATCTGATTTTTTTACTTAACACAGAGAGGTTCGTTTTAAGATTAGTTTCATCTACCATCATCACTTTGCACTCAGAGCTAAAGCAGTGTAAAGTGGTTTCAGAAGTGGTAATGGGATGTCATTCTAAATTTCTTAATACTCTTTGTAAATTTTCAACTCAGGATAAATAGTCCCATCCCATTCAATGCAGACTTTTATTTGACTTTGTTGATACCTTTATTAGATATAGAATGGTATAAATACTAATTTACAATTTACCTAAGCACTTTTTTTTTCCAGGCAGTCACTTAAATGTCAGTTTTCTAAAGCTTTCTGGTTTACAGTAAAATTCTGTTAATTCCACCACAGGGAATTTGAGATCAATAGAAATAATAAATTATCAGAATTCTATCCAAGCTAATATTGCTGTACAAGTTAGCAGTAGCTGAGCTTCCTGCTTGCAGATGGGCTTTTTCTTCTTGTTTTCCTGGTTACTAATAAAGCTACCCAAAACAGTAGGCACACCTTGATAGTATGTTTTGTTAAGATGAGGTAGTTAATTATAAACAAGTTATGATTCAAGCCTAAATATAGGTAATATAGTCATAGATATGATAAATGCAAATCAGTTGTCATATAATTGCTAAAGTATCTACAGTCTTTTTAGGCAACTGTTCCTCATCAGCGTATCTTAAAGATTAGTAAAAATAGCTATGATTAGATTTTTTTTTAACCTTTCCTTTTATATATTTAATAATGTTTAACCTACTCCTCAGGTATCAAAGAAGCCTGAGTTTACAAAACTCAATTTAGAGGGTTTCTGACAAGTTACTAAGGTCTGCTCTTTAGTAGTTAGAGGTCACAATATGACTTAGCCATTCCTTCATCTCTAATTAGTATCTGGGAATGTTATAATGCATTATTAAGAAGAGGAAGCACTTAAATAAATTTTTTGCCCCCGATAAAAGCCAAATATTTTAGCTTGAAATTTGTCTTTCTTAATTCATTTAGGTTTTGGTTATTTTATAGAAAAATGCAAAGGGAACATGGAGAGCATGAACCTGAAAATGTCCCTAAGTTGAATATATAGCAAAAAATAACAGTTCAAAATGCAGACAGTCAAACTCCTTATCTGAAATCCCTTTTAGAGACATTTCTGCCTTCCTTTTTCCCCTGTATTTTTTTCCACACGAATAAGCAAGAAGGAAAGCCTAACATGGATTCTTCCCTGCTGCAACCCATTTATACTCCTCTTGTAAAATTTTCTCTTGTCTGTCCATATATTTGTTCTCATTCTCAGCAGAAAAACCTTTAAGCCTTGAAGACTTTTAAATAAAGGGTTTTTTTGCTTTTGCTTTGGTGTCAGTTGATTTCTTATCAAAGTGTTTGATTTGCAATTTTTTTCTTGTCGTTTGCAGAAGCCGAAAGCGGTATGCCCTCTTCGTTACCTTTCCTTCCAACCTCAATCCTACCTTCACTCCTTCTAACTTCAGGACTAATTCCTTGCCAAGAACACAGGAAGATAACATCTTTGTCTATCTTTCTCTGTATATGCACACACATATATACATACATATATTCATCTGTCTATGTGTGTGTGTATATATATATCTGTGTGTATAATTATATATGAGGCCCCAGTCTCAAAGAGGAGAGAGAATAGCATTTTGTCTCTCCGTTGTTTCTTGTGACTCACGCACTAACTTCTTTGCAGGAAGTATAAAATTAAACAGTATAAGTTTTTTAGGCTTTTTTTTCCCCCTTTTGGAGTCATTGGTGTATCAGAGTGTTGCATTTGAAAAGCAGACTTTACTGTCAACATCTGTCCTCTTTTTTTCATTTGTACTGTACTGTGACGATGTATATTTCGTCTTTACCAGCCCTTGTGCTGCCATATTGTCTTCATATTCACACCTTCATTGATGTCCTTCTTTTCCCAGAGTCTTCCTTCAAAACATGTCTTACAATACAGTAGTTCGTGTTCTCTTGCAGTCTCATCTTCCATTAACAACAACCAAATAACTGATTCTTTGCATTGCTGGTCCTGTTTTGAGTCCAGTTATTCATAATGCAGTACTCATTAAAGCTGTTGTACTGTTCCAGTGAAATTACCATGGATAGTTTGGATTATATGTCACATTCATTTTAATGACATTAATTGAACTCATTTACGAAGATGTTACTGAATGTATTTTGTTTCTCAGCTTTGGGTTGTTATTTTTTGGGTTTTTTTGGGGGGATGGCATGTTTTGCATTTTCTTTTGGTATACCATGCTCTGAGCCCCTCTCTAGTCTACATTCTATCATACTGCTACTGGTTTGGATGAAGTAAATAGGGCATGCTCTTCCTTGTCTCTCCTCATCTCTCTTCCCTCTCACAGCTTTTTTTCGTAATTGCTTATAGCGTTCTGTCTGTCAGTGGTGGTCTTTGGAGACCTGTTCTCATTGTCCAGACACTTCGGTTTCCTTCATCATTCTCTCTAAACTTTACTTTCTTTGTCTGTTCTGTTGCATATGTTGTGTTATATGTGTTTAAGTTTAGTCTTATTCTCCTATGGTTTCTGAGTAGATGTGTGATAAGAGAGGTGGCTTCCTGTCAGTTTGGCATTGATATGATCCAAATGCAGAGAAGTTACTGCAACACTTAGCATCTTCAAGGATCTGCAGCTGTTGCACCTCTACTTTGCTTCTTGCTTTTAAGTATATATTATCTTGTGGTGAAGGCATGTTAAAGCTGGCATGATGAGCAATATGGAGAAGTGTTGTACTAAGTGAAGTTGCTTGCTCCCAGAATAAAGTATTCTGTTATGCTTCGTTGTAATCAATCACTTCTAGAATCAGAAGGAATAACTTAATTGTTTCCAAGTGTATTGAATTCACCATCACTGTTTAACTAGTTTGGACTATGCCCCAGTAAAATACCTCATGCACATCCTGTAAACCATCACTTAGGTGCTATTGTAAAGAATTTGACTCCTGGGAGCAACCTTTTATATGCTTGTAGTAATTAAGCTTTAATACACTGTAGCATGTAATGTGCACTGTGTCTTTTGCCTTGTATTCTTTTTAGTGTCTTACTGGATTTTGCTGTGTAGAGCAATACGGATCTGAGTTAATGTCAATGACAGAGCCCAGAAGAAGGAAGCAGTACTAATGAGTTACAATCAGTGTGAAGCTGGTATGTGCACAACTCTCACTGTGGGATTTGTGCACCTACTCTCACGCTCCAAAACATACCCTGAAACAAAAAATATTATCTCCAACTAATTCTATAGTTGGATGAATGACATGGTGCCTTTTAAAAGGCCGCTATGCTAATAGTGGTGTTTTTTATCTGGGCATATAGCATGAAACAATCAAGAATAATAGCTGGTTTTGTTTAAAAGTGCACTAGCTATAGTCAGTAATACCATATAGTCTTGTTTTAGATAATGTGGGCATAGTACTTAAATATTGTATCCTCCTGATGATTTTGCTACTGTTTGAGTTGCACGGGGAATGGTACAGTACATCTACCACAAGGTTTAAAACAGTTGTTACAACTTTTGACATTTGTTTAGTCAAAATTTTGCTGTTTGTGTTTCATTTAATTCAACAGTTAATATTTTTTATTTAGAAAAGGAGGATGATAGTCACATGGGTAACTATAAAGCTGAAAACAAACAAAAAAATCAATCAAACAAACACCCAAAAACCAACCAACTAACCAAAAAAAAGTAGTATTACTAAGTGAGAGAAGTTTCCTTGATGCAGGGCTGAGCTGTTCAATTGGTCACTGATAATGGGATTCCTCTCACCTAAATGTCTAACCTCCTTTTAGTTATCCAGACTTATTTCATTATTCAGGGGAAGAGAGAAACAATTCTTGAATGCATTTTCCATTTTAAGACAGATGAGAGGAATCTCACATTTAGTGCTACCTAAATGTAACCTTGAAGGTAAGAACAAACAGAAATAATATATAACTGAGGCACTGACAAGGAAAATTGTAAAAGGACTTTTCTGGTGTAGAGAACTACAGGAAACATTTTTCATTCTACTGAAATTTTTGTATGCTGAACATTTATTAGAAGTAATGTTTTACATATTCTAATAATATGAAAAGATATCAACTATCAAACTTTCTAATCACATTTCAGCCCAAGAAACATAATTTGAGTCCAATATGTGTGATATTTGAGAGCAGGAGACAAAAATCACCCAACATCAAAAATGAGTAAAAAAAAAAATAGATAGAGGGAATTAGTCCTACCCCAAAGTGCCAGTTCACAAATTGCCCTACAGTTCAAACCCTCAACTGTCAGGTTCCTCATCAAATATCTGTAAGTTCAGGAAAACATGGAAGATCTTCAGTTATTAATCAAAACCTTAGCTCACTTATAGTGCTTTAAAGGAGCACTAAAAAGGAATATATAGGAAGTATTCTCTGGCTAAATCAGGGTATTGTCAGTCATCCATGCCCTACTGAAAAGGTATTGAGCAATGCTCATGTTCTAGGGTAGTTTCAGGAGAAAAGAACAAATCAACAGATATTTATGTGTATCTGTATTTGAAGGTAACACATATACTTAAAAAATCAGAAAGATATAATTCAAAAAGTATGTTGATCACAATTAACACACAGTGACTTATGAACAGATATCTGTTCTCCATTGACATATGAGAGAGTCATCATGTCCTATCTTAACTTTTCATCGAACAGTCTGTGTAAATAAAACCATAAACATTCATCTAGAATTTTTGTGACCGCATTTGAATTTTCCTTTTTTTTTTAATTGTGCATCTCAGATGTGCACTGATTGCCATTTGTGTTTCACCTGTTTATATTTCTGTCAGTCCGGGAACTCATTTTCAGCTGATTAGATAGTATTCCTAATTCTTTCCTGAGCTTTTGTTGTTCAGTGTCAGGTTGGATGGGGCTTTGAGCAATCTGTTCTACTGAAAAATATCCCTGACCACAGCATGAGGGTTGGAACTAGATGATTTTTAAAGATCCCTTTCAAAATAAACTATTCTATGATTCATTCTGTGGACTGAATTCAAGGATAATTTCCACATTTTCGATGTGTGACATTTTCATTGCTCTTGGATGCCTGATCTTTCATCTAGTTACGATGTGAATCTTCTTTAGCAAATGAACTAACTTTTGCAGAGGTTTCCAAACTACAGATTCTATTCCATAAGTGGCTTCCAAATTGTAGTATTATCAACAAGTAATAGAATAAGTTCATGTTGGTGAAGGACATTAAATTCCTATTAAACACATTAAATCATATTTAATTTACATGGCTGTAATTGCCATGTGTTCTAAATGTTCATGTGTGAAGGAGCAAGCAATCGTGTCAGCCCTACCAGGAAAAGTTTTGTCCTGAGGAATGTGTTTCTGGAACTGGAATCCTTAAAGAATTATGGCTGAATGTTTTTTTTTGAGCTTGCTATTACTTGATTACTTTCTGAGGTAATCTAAACTAGAAGTCTTATAGAATTATAACATTTAATCAAGATTTCAGAAGCTTTTAAAATACTTGGCCTTCCTGATTTCATGAGCTGATTTAGGAGATAAAAAAATTAAATTATATTTTATGATAAAAACATGTATTTGGAAAAATCAGGGGTGTCATTTTCAATAATACTTTTTCTGATGTATGGCACGGATTGCATATTTATTAGCTCTAGGTATTGTTATTAAACCTAATGAGTTACTGTCCTTTTCCTATGTCTTCCTGTATCTGCAAAACTTTTCATCCTTGGAGATACATAAAAATGAGACATTAGCTGAAGCTTTCTCTCTTAAAAGTCCAATTTAGTTTGCCATGTACTTAGCTTCTCAACCACAGGGATATATATGTATGCATATTTTAATATTAAACAAATACATGCATCTCTAAATAACTGATAGTTGCATCTTCTTGGTGTACTAATAAGACTGTTTTGTTTTTCTCTGTTCTGTTTGTTCTCCATATTCTACTATTTTAATTCAAAACATTTCCCTTGCTGTACATATTAGAATGAGTGCTTATCAAAGCATAACTTTAGCTAATGATACTACAAGTATCATAAGAAATAGTTCAGTTCCTGCTTTAATAAGCAGTGTGTTTAATAAATCCATATAGACTAAGTAGAAATTGCTCATGATTTTGCTCTGGTTATATATCAGTATGTATATAAACCCAAAACTCTATGAGGTTTTGCTGTAACTCTTTGCTAACAGCAGTGATGGGGCAAATTAATTTTTATTCCCTATGGAAGATTTTGCTGCTGAGGTCATGCTGCATTAACTGTGATCAAATCTATATTTGTGGCTATTTGTATTTGTGAAAATAAGTATATGTGAAAGAAGTATAAGATCTGAGAAAAATAAAGTCTATACACTGACCCATCTGAATTGATTTAATGTGTCTCAGAAAACCTCGAGATACAAAATTGTACTCAAAATACCTTACAGCCTAAATGAAGCCAGTTATTTCTGATTTAAGATTATATTCCATGCATCTTAAAAGAACTGCTTCATTTGCTTATTACTTTGTCAAATTTTAAGTATTGTTATGAGGAGTGAACGTTTATACATCTGATGGTTACCTCAGTTTGTGGAGTTTGGGTTGTTGAGTTTTGAGTAGGATTTTTTTACTTTTTGGTATGGTTTATCTCCAAGAATTGTGTTGAGGAAAAAAAACTAACCTGGTCTACGTAAAGAAATGTGTTCATCTCTTTTCACTGAAAAACAGTAATAGTTACGTGATTAAAGAATCAAATGAGATAAAAGCTATTTTTCTGACAGAACAGTACCCATTGGTAAATAAGAAAAATAGCCAACCCAAACTATATTACAAGTCTTTACATGTTTTAGAAGAAACAGTATAACAAATAAATGAGATTAGCATGGTTAGGATATTTTTGAGTTTAACAGCTAAATTCTCAGCATAATGGCAGGATTAAGGACGAGCAGACAGGGAAAGGGAAACGTGGAGACTGAAGTACAGATGCAGTTATGGACATGATACAAAGTTTTGGCAGAAAGACTTTGGAGATTTAGTGGCAGAAAGATTCTCTCCTGGTTCTTGAGAAGACTTATCTAGGCTGACGTAGGCTCGCAGGTTTAAGACAGGCATTTTCAGCTTTCGTCTGTGAGTACTGGCAGAGCGTACGGCTGGTACAGGGATCTCTGTAAGTGCTAGTAAGTGCTCTGTGGGCTCAAGAGACAAAAGCTTGTGCAGGAAATATAAATTTTCCAACCTGTTTGTGATCTCAGTGACTGGTTTCATATGAAGAAATACTTACAGGGTGACTTCCTTGGTTTTTGTTTTGTTTTTTTGCTTGTTTATTGTTTGTTTTTTTCCTGTTTGGCTTTAGGGTGTTTTTTTTTTTTCTCTTGGTTTGTTCTTTTGTTTGTTTGGGGGGTTTGTCTGTTTTATTCCATTTTAAAACCTGCAAAAATGCATTTTAAAACTGGATAAGGTAAATGTTTTTGTTGCAAGTGCAACCGTTAAGCCCAATTGACTAACAAAAGAAATATTAGGTCTGACACTGGATGATAAATACTAGATGATAGTAGTTGATGATAGATGATACTAGTTTAGCTGTGTAACTTTATTTCATCTCACTTATCTGCGTGCATAATGTACATGTTATTTACACCATCACATTTCATTTTTTGCAAATATTACTAAAGTGTGCTGTGGTGATATCTTCCAATTTGTGTAGTTCTGCTCTCCTTTTTTATTACAAAGCTTGAAATTGTGAATGAAGGAAAAGGAAGGATATCTGGGTAGATGCTTTCCTTGAGATTTAATTTCTGTTTGAGCCTCTGCCAAAGAATAGCTGTGTGAGAGTGAGATAATAATTTAAACCAAACCTTTCACAGATGACCTCTGATTCGGTGTTCCTTATTTTGGGCATCAGAGACCGGGCTTTTGGAAATGTGGAGCATTCTTACTTACAGCAAAAGTCCCTAAAAGTGTATATGGAGCTACGTAATGCTAAACACTTAGAAAAAGATGTTCTGTAGGCATCCCAAGTTAATAACTGCTATATCTCATAGTGACTTAATCTCTCCTCTGTAAAATGGAATAATACTATATCTTCATTCTTCTTGTGAAGTAAATTATGTATTTGTGAGTCTTTTCCATGCTGTAATGATGAACATTGCAGAAAAACACGTAAGAAAAGTACGATCCTGACTTTAAAGAGAGATAAATTACATGAAGCCATCCATGCCTGAAGTAATGGCAGTAAAACACCACTCAATGAAGTTCCAGATTGTGAGAAGGAATATTAAATTAGGAATTGTATCATAATGTCTACATAATGGCAGCTGAATTATGACTGTATGACCAACCTTTTACATCTGAACTCATGAGTGCTTTATTTTGCGGCCTACATATTCTTGTCATAGGGCCTTGCAGCTTGTGGAATTATGCAAAACAGTGTGCTCATTATTAATCTTTCAGATGTATTTTTGTCATATTAATTTATTCCTAATGTATAGAGAATCAATAACATATTGAATAAGAGATGTACTGAGACCAATTTTCCCTACAAGAAAGACTTTGGACCTTCAAAGTTTAGTAATATATGTCTGTTCACAAATGTGCTTTTTTTATTTTTGTGTATATATCCTTCCCTAAAATCAATTTTTGCTAAATCTGCAAGGTATTAATTTGCTGGTAGTCTTTGTTTACTCTAAATTGCACATCAATGCCATTACTACATTTCGAGTTAGAGAGGCTAAGCTTTAATAAAAGACAAAAAAGAGAGAACTTGTGAAAAACTATATTAAGTTTTAGAAAAGCTTAGTTGTATTAAACATTAATAAAACTTATTGGAAAATATATTTACATTTATTTATATATGTATATTCATATTTAACGTGTTACTTTGCAAAATGCCTTACCTAAAATCTAGAGTTAAATTATTATAAAAATAAAGAAGATATTTCATAGAGAGACATGGAGTACCTCACTTCTTGATAGCAGTTTGGAATTTCCTTCATCAAATTTAGCTGAGGGTATTCTGTCATTGTGGTTGGGTTATTTTTGTTTCATGGCTGCTTAGCAGTGTTTTAAAAATTTTCTATTCGTTTTATGTTTTTTCAGCTGTCGTGACTGGTTGTCTTGTACCATTCCCCTTGAGTGTATGTGTGCATTTATTATTTTAAAGAATAACATTATATGTCCAGATAGGGGTCCCATTAACTTTTTTTTTCACTAGAAATTGGCAAAAATTTGCATTGAAGGGTTTAGCTTCATAAAGGATATTTTGTGTTATTACTGAGTGGTGGTTGCTGGTTCTTCCCTTTTCACCATATTGTGAATTTTTCACCACTTTGCATGACAGAGCGAGAAAACAGCAATGCTCAGCTTCACACTTCATGTTTCTGAGAGGCTTTTGTGTAGTTTATATTTAAAGCAAAAACATAAGAAAACAGACGTAAACACTTACATGATGTGATTATAGGCAGAGGCATGTGATTGTCTCAAATTAAAGTTTTTGTAAAAAGCATGTGAAACTGTTATTTGACTGGAAATTTCAAGGAAGATGGCTTAAAATTTCCTTGCAGCCTTTCCTAACTAGTGGGTCCCCTATAACAGAATCAAATAAAGTTAATTTAGAACATTCCATTAAAAATAGTTTAAACTTATGGTTTTGTTGGTTTTGTTCTTTTTTCACTGAGCAGTATATTAATCAATCCTGGAAACCACGTCAAGATTCAAGAAGGTACCTTAGGATTCTTCATTGCAAGTGATGCCAAAGAAGTAAAAAGGTAAATCATGTGTTTTTATCTTTAAATTTAAACATATGTATTTAATGTCAGTTTGTTTCTTTATATGTAAATGCCTCACTTAATTTGCCCTATTATCTGATTCTCAGGGAGAATTGAGTTGTCACTGTAGTGAACCAAACATATATATATATGAAATTTTCTTAACTAGGGTCCTAAATATCAAAGAAATTAAATAATTTTGTAGCAGATATGAAGAGAAACAAAGAGACTGGTAGAAGGCAGGGATTACAGTTTTGTCTGAGTTTCAGGTTTAGAGAAGTTCTTATTTACATAGATTTTAGCAAATACTTGATGTAAGCAGGCTACTGTATTCATTCGGTAATTGCATTAGCAAAATAATATTTATGTTCTTGTCATTTTTCTTTAATGGAGCTACAAATTCTACGGCCTCATAATAATAAATCAAATTACAACAGTGCACTGTATTCCAACCAGCTATATTCACAGACTCATTGTACTTGTCTGTACTAGATTTGAGATGAATGAAAAAGAATTTTATGGTATTGTGTTTAGGACCAAATGTGTGTATTCTTGTTTGTTAGGATAATTATTGCTTGGAAAGAACAAAGGAGAATTGTGAGAAAATAATTTTTAAAAGGAAGAATTGTTGAATGTCTGTAAGAGTTAAAAAAAAAAAAGAAGAAGACTAATATTTCGCAACTGAGTACCTCCTCATAATTTGTATATTTGTTATGTCATGCCATCAAGAATCAGATTTTTACTTGATGTTCTCCGTGAGCTTGCTATTTTAACTAAATCCTGCATTTGTGAAATATTCAAATGATACACTTAATTAAGTTCTAAAATTTTTAGGTTTAAATTACAGTGAAATAATACTTAAACAATGCATGTTTGCCATGAATCTTTAAAGAAAGTCAAAACATCAAAACAGTGAAATCAGAGAACTTGAGTTCTGTTTGTGTTGAAAGAGCTAAGATATTTTTTGGCTAGGGTAAAGCATATAGAACAGAGCAGCAGTGCTCCTGTCCTCTCATATTTCTAGCACCATCTGTGGAGTGTGTGGATCCTGCAGTGCCTCAGGTACGCTGCCTTTCAACATAGAGTTCTTCTCCTCTCTGGTACTTTTCTCCAGTTGAATACACAGAACTGTCTTCATATTGCTTTATCTAGGTGCTGATTTTCTTTCATTTATAAGGCACCCTCCAATGATTTTTTTTTCAGACTGCAAGAAAAATGGCATAATATTTTTAGCAGGGAGAAGTTGACTGTGTTTAGGGAAATTTTTCACATTGTTCATCTATCATGTTTTATCTAATATGAAGCATGAAACAGGATTTCCAATTCTACCTGGCTTTTCGCCGAAGGCTTGGTTTAGAAACATCCTGCCTCCCTTACCATGTTTCTTAGCTGTTCTGTGCAAAGCAAATGGTTATCAGATGTGTTTCAACTAACAAAGCCAATTATGAAAAGTGTTCATTTCATCCTTTTGAGCTATGAATCAGAGTCAGAAAAATGTTCTAAAATTGAGGAGTTTTGGAGGGGGAAAATTAAATTTTTAATAAAGCAAAATTAAACATGTTATGTACCTGAAATTCAAATTAAATTATTCTGATTTTTTGTTACCAGCTCCCTTAAGCTAAATCTATTCATATTTCTATATCCCACAATGAAATATAGCATATGATGTTCAACTACTCTTCCTACTAGAATCACTTTTGCATTTTTAGAAAAACAGTTTCCCATTAGAAGCAATTATACCTAGAAACAATTATGCCTTGGTAAATAGCTTCACATAAAATGTCGAGTGTTTAAATAAAACACAAACTATATGAATTACATCTTTATTATTCTTTATTCATTTAAATGTTAGTACTATGATCAGAAATACATATGCTTCAAATCCACTTAATTCACTCCAATTATATAGAATGATAATTTTATTACAGCGATCACTTCAAGTATTTGCTCTTGGCTTTGGACATAGGATTGAAGGTACTCTAGGACATTTGTCCTGAAGTGAACTTCAGAAACATGATCTCTAGAAATCACACAGAATAACAGAGAATCAACCAGGTTGGAAAAGACCTCTGAGATCATTGAGTCCAACCCATGACCCAATACCACCCTGTCAGCTAGATTGTGGCACTAAGTGCCATATCCAGTCTCTTCTTAAATACCTCCCTGGGCATCCCATTCCAATGTCTGATCACTCTCTCTGTAAAGAATTTCTTTCTTATGTCTAACCTTCACCTCCCCTGGCGCCTATGTCCGGTGCATGTCATGAGGTTTGTGAGGTAATATTTGTGGTGGTTAATTCTTGTTCAATAAAGGGGCTTACAGCTGGACTGGGGAGAAATTGGGGTAAAAATTTGAGGAATTTTTCTCTTCCCGACTTATTTCTTGGCATCAACCCATGGTTTGAAACATATTTTATTCTCATTTCCTTGGAGGTAGTTTGTTTACTTTCTGGTGGAATGTGAATATCTTGAAGACCAGAAACTTTTTGCAGCAAAGTATACAAATGCTTAGAGAAGGCTTTTTCATTTTACATTTTGCGTTTTAGAAATAAGGCGATGTCACAGCCTGAAAGAGTAATCTTCCTGGAATTTTCTTAGAGAAATTAAGTGTGCTACGTTTAGGACTTGTATCTTCCATCAGCAGTTTCATGCTATATTGATTTTAGAAGTGTTAATAACATTCAGTGAGGTTTCACTGCAATTTATATTTGTATTCCCTGGTTCATATCTTGTATGCTAGACCTGCTTTCTTTCTCCTGATGGGCCACTTAACTACCAGGGTCATATTTCAGAGGTGTAAAATTACTTAGACAAATTTTTAACTATTTAAATTAGGTATCTAGTTTATATCTCTGACCATTTCCTTTATTATAGTTCTACCTGTGGTGGCCACACTCTACTTAATTTAGAAGAAATAGTAGTGATCATCCTAGCTGCAGTGCCAAAGGATGTGTTTAATCAGAGACTGTGTATTAGTATTGTTTATTGTTCCTTTTATATTTTGGACTGTAGATTGTTCTGTTTCAGAGACCTCCCTACTGTTGTAGCAATCCAACCATCCAGTACTGTCAGCAAAACCTATGGGTGGTCTCAAAGTGGCAGCTTTGCTTCTTACTGCCAAAAATTATATTGAGAAGTATGCAATGAGGGGGGTCGGGATGATAGGCAGGGAGCTGACCTATGCTGAGCATGGACAAGTACAGGGAAATAAGCAGGTTAAGAAAGTATGTTTAATTTGTTATGCCAGCAAGAATCCTGCTAAACTGTATCTGTCTAGCTAGAGGCCAACTGTGTATGTGATCCTCATGAAATGTGTCATAGCAGCCTTACATGATATGTTGACTTGACAGGCATGATTAAAATCTCCTGTGGGCACTCTGATACATATTTATTAAATTGGAATTTTTTTAAAAATCTTATATAAAGTAAAAAGTTTATCCTTTCCCTCTGTCTTAGTTCTCCTTGTGCTTTACCTAGTGGTGAGCCATTTGATAGAAGAGTAGAAGTCCGTGAGCAAAAATGTTAAATAGAAACCTAGATAGTTCATCTTGTTAATTGCATATTCTTATTTTAAATTTTTGCTTTTGTCTGTTCAAAACCAAAATGGTTCTTCTTTATTTAGATATGAAGGACAAAAAAAATAGAATCGTAGAATCATAGAATGGTTTGAGTTGGAGGGCAACCTTGAAGATCATCTAGGTCCAACCCCCCTGTTGTGGGCAGGGACACCTTCAACTAGTCCCAGTTGCTCAAAGCCCCATCCAACCTGGCCTTGAACACCTCCAGGGATGGGGCATTACAGCTTCCCTGCACAACCTGTTCCAGTACCTCACCACCCTCGCAGTCAAGAATTTTTTCCTAATACCTAATCTAAACCTACTGTTATCAATATAAACCCATTCCCCCTTGTCCTGTCACTACATGCCCTTGTAAATAGTCTTGTCCCATCTTTCCTGTAAGTTCCCTACAGGTATTGGAAGGCTGCAATTAGGTCACCCCAAAGCCTTCTCCAGGTTGGAAAAAAACCCCAATTCTCTCAGCCTTTCCTCATAGGAGAGGTGCTCCAGCACTGATCAATTTGGTGGCCTTCTCTGGACTCACTAGAACAGGTCAGTGTTCATCCTATGCATGGGACCCCAGAGCTGGATGCAGTGCTCCAGGTGGGGTCTCACCAGAGTAGAGGGATGGAATCACCTCCCTTGAGCTGCTGCCCACGCTTCTTTTGATGCAACCCAGCATATGATTGGCTTTCTGGGCTGCAAGTGCACATTGCCAGCTCATGTCCAGTGTCTCATCCAGCAGCACCCCTAAGTCCTTCTCAGCAGGGCTACACTTGATCTTTTCGTCCCCCAGCCTGGATTGATAGACCCATGTTATAGACCCTAACCATGAAGTTCCCTTTGCTACCTTTGTCTCAGATTTTTACCCACAGACTTTCAACCTGCTCATGGCTGTTTTTCAGAGACAACTTTTCACACTTAATCCCTGTCTTGATGTGGAAGGCAACCCCTCCACCTCTCCTTCCTTTCCTGTCTCTTCTGAACAACCTGTAGCCACCAATAGTCACAATCCAGTCATGGGATTCATCTCACAGTAGTCTGAATCAAGATTTAGATGTTATTTAGTTGTTCCTTTAGGAACTTATTTGGAGTAGATTTTCCCTTTCTGATTTGGTTTTGGGTTTGTTTGTTTGTTTGTTATTTTTTTGCAAATAACATGTCTGATATTTAATGTCACAGTGATCTCATTGCAGTTTCAGTGTAACTAAAATGAACTCCTACTTGTGACCAGCCTGAAGAACTGGGCTAGGGTACTAGACAGTCTTTAAAAAACCCCACCCTCGTATAGCTCATAAGAACAGAAAATTCATTATATGTATTTCTTTTTGTGACAAAGGGCATTGGATGCTCTTTTTTCTAAGATGAAAGAGAAATACACTGTGTCATAATTAATATCCCTTCTTCCAATTACTTTTCAAATAAAAGTATATTAAAAGAAACACTAATTTGGAGTCTTATGTTTAAAATTAATGGTATCACAGCAAACATTTCCTACTTAAAATGTCTAAACCTTTTCAAAGATTAAAGGAAATTAGTGTTGGCATATTTCATTAATTTTTCACTGCAACAAGAGGAAATGTGGGACTAATTTCATTTATATGGATTAAGAAATGTGTCGGTTTTCCCATTCTCTCTCTCCAGGGCATATTTTTACTGCAAGGCCTGTCATGATGACATCACGGATCCCAAAAGGATAAAAAAATGTGGCTGCAAACGGCGTAAGTAATATTTCTATCACTCCCTTCCTCTCCTTTTCATGAACTGTTCAGCCCTGAAGAATACCTATACATGTGTTTACATGTTTTGCTCAGTGGTACAGAAAAACTAAGAAATAAATGCACAGCAACACAGTAAGTGCCATTTGCATTTCGGAAGTCTCTATGTCTTTATTACATTTCACACCACTCACACACCTATGTCTTCATTAAAAAATCACTTAAGGGTCACAGCTAGCAAAACCTGAAGAATTAAGACAAACTAGATCTGATTGTGTAGGTTTCTGAGTTGAGAATTAGCCAATGGTGAAGTTTTGCTATCATTCATAACATACAAAAATCCAGTATTTCAATAGTTTTCTTTACAGTAAAGAACTTCTGTCTGTCTTGCTGAACATGATTCTGTAAAAGAAGCAACTAGGGAATTCTATTATATCATATAGCCATTAAAATAAAACATTTTTTAAATAAGTGAACAGTTTTAGTGGAGGAAAGGGTTGTCTGGAAGAAATTAAATATTAGTGCCTCTTATATATATCCTTTTAGCTGTAAAGCTAATATTAAGTTTAGGTAAGTTCTTAAATTGTTTGGACAGTTTTTTCATGAAGAAATAATTGAGTTTTGGAATTGAGACCAGACTTTGCATCTGAATTTTTATAAATATGTAGCAATTAGCATTTTACCTATCTATACTTTGAAATTATTTTCCAGGAACTATCACAACCACATTTTGGCCAAAGATGTGTTTGACCCATGCATATTTGTAATACTGATAGAAAAATGATTTAGGGATTCATTCCTGAATGGATATATGAATATTTATGTGCATTCTATGGTATTCTGCCATAAAAAAGATCATTCATTTCAAAAGTACTGATTAGGTAAATTGAAAGATCTCAGAAGAGTTTGATCATGTCTGTTTTGCCACTATTTTCAAAAGGGAAAAAGCCCTCTTACTTATAGTTTGAGTCAGTGCGCTGTTTTGGAGGACAGAAGAAGCCTGAACTGGACATTCTCTGCCTTTACGGAGTGCCTGAAGTGGATGAATTCTTGAAGATGATTTAAAAAAAAAAAATATGTCACTGGAGTTTTTTTAAAAAAACTCCTGTCTCCAAAAAAACCTGGAGTGTGGAACAACAGTATAATTGAGAGAAAGCAGCTGAAACACTGACAGAAAATGATATTCATCTTCCCAGTAGCCACAAGGAGAGCAAAGCACATGGAAAGCATGCCTGATGTGGAAGGAATGTATGCATTGCCTAACATATTGGAAAAAAATTGTTCAAGAACAGTTTATCCATGTGAGAATGTGACCTTTGAACTGCTGCCAAAGCCAATGAGTCTGCTGAGTAAGTTCTGGTAAAGCCAGTTACAGATGCCTCAGGGTGCCTGTAGCTCTCAAACAAAATCTTTTTTCCAAATTACTCAACAGTTAAAGAGAAATATGTTACCTGTTTAATTTTATCTGGTTCTGTCAGGGAAAAAAAAAAAAAAAAGACCTATTTTATTTGTATTTTCTTCTCTACTCTTCCTTCACATAATGTATGCTTTTTAAACATGTTCTGCTAAAAAAAAAAAAAAAAAAAAAAATCCCCAAAATCTGTCAGTTTAATATGAGATCTAAAATTTTCATTGTCATTTCTTAGAAGATAGGAATCATGAATTAATACTGTAAAGGGCAAGAGCCCTTTTTTGTATATTAATGAGAATCAGGGTAACCTCCTCAAAACTAGGAAGCCTGGAAGGAGACAGAGTATCCTGAAACGCAGCCAACACAATGGAAATATTACCAGCAGTAAGGCCATGGAGAAGCAAGAGTAACAACTTCTGTGAGTAGCAATAGGAAATGTTACAAATGGCATGGTCACACATCAGTCCAATAAATGAAAGGGTGTTGGACAGATGAATAAACAAAATGATGGAGTTAGTGAGGCAGAAGAAGGAGGCAGCTGTCAGAGCTGGCACAGTAAGCACTGAATGCTAAGGAGGGAATCCTCTGAGTCAGATGAAAATGGAGAAAAAACGTGGTCAGTGAGAGTAAAATCTTAAATTTCCCTTTCATTGTCTTCCCTCTCCCTCAATCTGCCCTCTCTCCTCCCATTTCCTAGACACAGATAGGGTCACAGGTACTGTGGTAGCAAGCAGCCCTTAGTACACCTGAGAACAACTTTCTCTTAGGGCCATGATCACAAGTATTAGAAATAATACAGTTGCTTCACTTTTAAAGTACTATCAGTAAACAGAAAATTTAAATGAAAAATTTCAACAGTAATTAGTGATTTTTGGTTCTCAAATTTTATTGAAGATCTTGAGGTCCCTTTTATGGGACCTGTTTTTTTGGGCTTTCTTTTGGGTTTTTTTTTAAGGTAAGTCTTTAGTGGAGCCTGTTATTCACATAAAATATTTTAGCTTTCAAATCACTAATCACTTTTGAAAAACCTTAACTATGTTATCCATCTTTAAGCCGCACAAATCATCGTTCTTAAAAATGCAGTCTAACCAAAACAAAGGATAAATTGAGAAAACTCTTTCCCTATTGAGTTAGAAAACTGTTAACTGATCTGTCAACAACTAATATGTCAATTTGGTTTTCAAAGACACTTCATACAGTCACAAATGCATCCGTGTAGTCCTATATGTTAAATATGTATTTTAATTAGTGAGTAACATAATAATTAGAGGCAGCTGAATGTGGAAAATGTGTAAGATTAAATGAAAGGTTGTATGTAAAAATATTGACACATTCAGGTGAATTAAACGTGAAAGAATATCTTTACATGGAAAACTTAATTATGGTGGCATTAATTAATGCAGCTTCCCATGACACTTAAAACCCACATTCTTTAATAATGCATCTGAGGTTGCACTTCAATTTAGATACTTTCTGAACATTAGCTTGTGATATTGTTGGGGTCTAAACGTGAGTCTGACCTACATAGCCATTTGTCCAAACTTGTTAGGCCTAATGTTAATAATTCAGGGCAGATCAGTACATTTCTACAAGGCTAGGGATAATTAATGTAATCTTGCTTTCCTTTTGCAGTTTTCTTGCCATCCTTTTCTCCTTATCCATCCACTCCCTGAATAACATATGAATGCTGATGTCACATTGTCCAAAGAAATCCTTGTGTGGAAATTTTATTCACAGATTGTTAATTTTTTTTCAATGTTTTCAATCTCTTTCTATTTCATTTAACTGTAGTTTTTGCAGCAAGAGGCCAAATATATGTATATATTTATATAAAATACAGCCACGCTGGGATGAAATCTCTAAACTGGATGACCTATTCCTCCTGTTTCTTTCATTCTGTGCAACAGCTATGGTCTAATTCTCTATATATTTTTTCCAGTGACAATGCTTGCTGTGAACGGTGGGGGTTGAACCCCAGAGGGGACATATCATGTGTACATTGATGTGTTTGAAGGAATTTCTTGTAATCTATGACAATTGACAAACTTTTGATTTATTTTTCCTCTTGCTGCCTTGGAACACGGCCCCTACTATATTTTAACTGCACACTGATAGTGATCTATTGTGAGTAAAAATGGGTTCCCTGTAGCCCAGAGTGCGGTCCAACCTGTCTTTCTCTAGCAGAGAGTATTTTTGTTCAGTATTTTGGTTCTTTTTTTTATTTATGTTGCATGTAGCAGTGATGTCATACCCACAAGTTTCTCATTGTTTACACCAATGGAGATTAGGGTGACATTGAAGAAAATACAGCAGTTTTCCCCTCTTCTACCTATTTACCCCTTTTTTCCACACACTTATTTTTTTATCCCTATTTGAAAATGAGATCTTGGGAATAGTATTTTCTTGAAATTATTCTAGAGATATCTCATGAATTCTTAGGGATATTGGTTAGGTTGGGGTAACTGCCACTATAGCACTGCTAGCCTGGTTAAGTACAATTCAATTAATTGTCAGACCCTTGTTCAATTTTTTGGTACTTTGTCCTTTCCACTGCATAGCTGACACAAAGAGCAACACAGCAGTCTTTTGCTGTCCTTATCTAACTTCTTTCTCCCCATTGGTAGAATAGAAAAAAAAGCTGATGGGGGAAAACTAGACAATGAATTAACTGTGTGGCTAACTTTTATTCTCTAAATCCAGAGATATCTTCAACAGGAAACAAGCTACAGTGATTATTTTCCTGAGCTTGCTGGTTTGGAAATTAATTGCATAAGTAGACGCACACTAACTTTTCAAAACCTTAGCTGTAAAGTTTTACATTATTATTATTATATATAGAATAGGACTTTATAGACCACTTCATGCCAATCTAGGTCATACCACTTTAAAGTGTACAGAATCTATGAAGGTTCTCATCAGCCACTTTTTAGTGTGTACACTTGTGATGGTTTAAATAAACATAGCATTTGGGACATGGAAAGAGTTTGCTGCAAAGAAATGTACTGGTTATAGGGCAGTGTTGAGATTATATGGACTTGTTCTTTCAAACAGCACAGGGCATCAAGTATCTCATAGTTGCAGTGTGGCATTACTGTACCAGATTGAGGCTGTAACCATACCGTGTAACTGCAGCTATTCTAAGTAAGTGAGGCTGTGAGACTTCTTCAACATTTTACCAGATATACTGGATTTATTGTGTGAACACACTTCAGGTCTTAATCAGGATTGAGATATTTTTTCCCCTCTCAGCTGTACACACCATGGGATCTTGCAAAGAATCAAGGAAAAATTTATGCTCCTGGCATTGCATGATAAAGTGCTGGCTGTCTTGAAATTGCGATGGCTTGCATTATGATTACTATTATTTTCTATTTATCTTATTGTGGTGCCTGCAAACTACTCTAAAGGATTGAGATCCTGTTATGGAAGAAGGAGTTCAAGGAGAGAATAGAAATTTTTCCAAAGATCTGTTTATAGCCTATCAAATGGTACAGCAGAAGATGGGGCAGCAGAAAAAAAACAGATTATGAAACAGATCAGCATGATAAGAATCAGTAATAAGCCAGAAATAAACTCATTTCTATGGATAAAA